TCACTAAAAGGACAAGAAAAGAAGACCAAAATGGATGACAGAAGAGACTCTGAAACTTGCCCTTGAGCAGAGAGTAGCTAAAGCCAATGGAAGAAATGACAAGATAAAAGAGCTGAACAGAAGATTTCAAAGAGCAGCTCGAGCAGACAAAACCAATTACTATAATGAAATATACAAAGACCTGGAGTTTGAATACCAAAAGGGAAGAACACACTCAGCATTTCTCAAGCGGAAAGAACTGAAGAAAAATTTAAGCCTCTTTGTCTCACTTATTTTGGTCATGTTGTCAGAAGGGACCATTCCCTGGAGAAGGATGTCATGCTTGGTAGGGTGGAGGGTCGACGAAATAGAGGGAGGCCTTCAATGAGATGGATTGACACGGTGGCTGTGATGATGGGCTCAGGTATAGCAGGGATCGTGGAGCTGGTGCGGAATCGGGCAGTGTTTCGTTCTGCTGTGCATGGGGTCGCTATGAGTTGGAAACGACTCGATGGCACCTAACAATGACAACAACAACATCACTGGCCTATTTCAGCCATCGTCACCTACAGCAAAGTAAAAACTGATGAGTCTGTCAGGATTTGATTATCTCCAGGGATCCTACTCCTGCCTGGAGTGCTGACCACACAACTCTGTTTTCTCTCTTCTCAGGAAGTATTTCCTCATTTCTTGGAGCTTGGTTTAGAGCTCTGCATTTCCACTGGGATCATCTTTGCCTTCACTAGGCTGTCATAGCTATGTACACTGTGAGATGTGCAGAGACTCTCTAAGACCTACTCTGGGTAATACTCATCCTATCAAGTCTGCTCGTTTTCCTGACCACCTGGCCCAACCCTCTGTCTTCTGTGAATCCAGCCCAGGAAGTTATTTTAAGGATCAGGTGGAGACACCAACCTACCAATTAATACTGACTCTATGACCTTCAATCTTTGTGTCCCACCCTTCCAGGAACACAGGGTGCAGCTGTTCAACATGGATCTGGAAAATGAGATGCGGATGGTGGGTGTGGTGACTGTGACCATAATTCTCGGCCTGGTGCTGACCAGAAT